ATTGGTTTTGGTGTGTTTTATTCGTTTGTTTGTTTGAGACAGGGTCTCTCCATTTATTTCTGTAACTAGCTATATAGACCAGGCTGGCCTCAAACTCACAGAAATCCTTCTGCCTCTGCCTTCCAAGTGATTAAAGGCATGACTCACTATGTCCTATAAGTTCTTGAATCTTGATGTTCTCTTTAATCAGGATGTCTGGCCACCCTCTTTCTGAAAATAAGCTATCAACTAATTGAATCTCAGTCTTCAATTCTGTGCCACTCGGCAAATGCTGAGTAGGAATTAAGCATGGGCTGGGGTCTGTCCTGGGATGTGGGGACAGAGTAATGAGGTGGGGGGTTACCACAGAGTTCCTGCTCCAAAACAGAGAAGGGCAGCTGGGAAGACCAAAGTCCACCTCCACTTTGACGCACAGGGTGGCATCTAGCAGTTTCCTAATCAGCAAGACTGTGAAGATGGGGCTGGGAATAAGGCTCAGCTGGTAGAACATCTGCCTAGCATACACACACTCTTAAAGAGTTCCAGCCACAGCACCACATAGAACCATCATCCCAGGATTTGGGAGGTCGAATGAGGGTCAAGAGTTCAAGGCCATCCTCAGCAGCATAGCAAATCCCAAGTCAGCTTTAGTCATATGAAACTGTCTTACAAAAAGAAAAAGTAATGAAAGCCTGTAAAGGCAGAGGTGCAATCTCAAGCACACTTGTGAGGTAAAATCTGAAAGGTATTTTGGTACTTCTGGGTCTCAAACCCATAGCCTCAAGCCAGCTAAGCGAACACTCTATTTCTGAGCTAGACAGCCAATGTGAAACAGAAACAGATTTCTTTGATGGTTTAAAATGAGTAATATTAGGGGCTTGAGAATGGCTCAGTGGTTAAAATCACATATTGCTCTTAAAATAAACCTGGGTTTGGTTCATAGCATCCACACTTCCAGGTTTACAACCACCTTAGTTTCAGTTCCAGGGGATCTGACATCTTCTGTTCTCCATGGGCACCTGCACTCACATGACATTAACATTCACACACACATACAATAAATCTTTTAAAAATGAATAACATTAACTTATCTAGTTTTCATATTTATTTCATTTGAGAGTGTCAGAAAACAAAACTGATAAATATATGCCTGCCTGGAGCAAAGGAAGCCCACTGTGACAAAGGACAACCTCCAGGGACAGGAGACAGCCTGAGTGCGATGGGTGGGACATCTGGGACATTGAGTTCCACCCTGCAGCTCTGGAGGCTGAGACAAAGGAAGTGACAGACAGGTTACTGCTGAGGTAGCAAGGACGATTCCACAGCCTTCCTTGTTGTCTGTGGTTGGGCTACCATCTTTCATGTTTAATGATAGTTTCCTGCCCTCAGAGCCACGCCCCAGGCCTCATGGGGTGCCTCCCCCTCCCATTGTATCCTCTTTTATCACTCTTAAGCAGCACAATAAAACCTCTTACAAGTTCCACCTAGGTCCACTTAGTTTGGAATATAAGCTGGCTTCTGCCTATCCTCTCTATCCCTTCCTCCCTCGAGACAGGTTCTGATGGATAGCAGCCACTCAAAGACGGCTCAACAGCACCTGCCGCCTGGCCCTCCACATTGACTGAGCCTCAGCCCGCTAAGTGACTCCTTCATGATACCATCTTTGGTTGGAAAAACACAGTTCCAATTTTAAAAGCAGGGTGTTTTTGTTTGTATTTCCTTTTATAATAACTGGACAAAAGTGGGCATGGTACATACCTACAATCCCAGCAGTCTGGAAGCTTAGGTAGGAGGATGGTGAGTTCCAGGCCAGCATGGACTACACAGACTAACGTAAACCAAACAAACAAACAACAATGGAGCAAAATGTGTGTTACCAACCAATTGGAATACAGACACTTGATATACCCAATCCACAAATCCCATGAGCAGACACTGGGGACCCATCCATTTGTGAGCACATCAGTCTATTTATGGACAGCTACAGAAATATGCATTATAAGGGGCTGGAGAGATGGTTCAGCAGATAAGAGCACTGGCTGCTCCTCCAGAGGACCCAGGTTCAATTCCCAGTGCCCACATGGTGGATCACAACTGTAACTCCAGGATCCAACACCCTCATACACACATACATGCAGGCAAAACACCAATGCACATAAAAGAAAAATAGATAAGTCATTAGAAATATGCATTATTGTGTAAGTAATTGTCAAAGCTAGAAAGCGATCTTGAGGAAAGATGTACTCTAAGAATCCTAAGATTATGTTTTATTTTACTAGACCTTGATACTGTATGCAAAACAAAATCCCAGGTAAATAAGGCAAAACTCAGGCCAGTAGGATGCTCAGCAGGTAAAGGACCTCGCTGCCAAGGCTGACGACCTGAGTTCAACCCCACAAACACAAGTGGCAGAAGGAGAAAGACTCCCAGAAGCTGTCCTCTGATTTCCACATGGGCCATGCTGCACACACACACCAAATAACTAACATGGGTTTGACATATGGTCCAGATCTGATTCTACACCCAAAGGAGTTCCTTTAAGAATCTGCGTCAGGAGGTTGGAGAGATGGCTCAGCAGTAAAGAGTGCTGACTGCTTTTCCAGAGGACCCTGGTTCAATTCCCAGCACCCACATGGCAGCTCACAGTTGTCTATAACTCCAAGATCTGACACCCTCACCACAGACATACACACAGGTAGAATACCAATGCACAGGCTCACAACTCCCAGAAGACAGGGGAAAGTGCAACACCTCCTTTTTTTTTTTTTTTTTTTTTTTTTTGGCAAAAGCTGACAAAGTACACTTGTCATTTTGCAAAATGAGACTCTCTTTCCCAAGCTAGATCTTAAAAGGATGCACTCAGATTAAGATGGATGGGATGCAAAACAAAATCCACTTCTCAGTGAACAAAGCTTGAAACAGAACAGGCTACCATTTTGCCTAAGCAACTAAGTAATAACATAACTATTAAAATATATTCTTGCCTCATCGATTATGAACTTGAGACAGATTCCGTCTCATATTTCCCATTCATTAGTCACTGCTCAGTGAATCGAAACATCGCAGTTTTCTATCTAGATTGGAACATTTCCCAACATCCTTCATCATGTTCACAAGGAGTGTTTGTTGTCTGAAGAGATGGCTATGTGGTGTGTTAACACAGGTTAACAATTTCCCTTTGTCAATTGTCTGTTTTCTAATTACTTGCTTTTTACTACTAAACGTTGCAACATTAGGCATGTGGCCTGATGGCGTGTTTATAATCCCAGCAGCTGGGAGGCTGATGCAGGAGGATGGTGCCTTCTAGGCCAGTCTCCACTACACAGTAATTTAAATCTCTACTATGTAGCCTCCTTAAGGAAAAACATACATATGGAACAAATATATATGGGCTGGAAAATACTTCAGTAAGTATCCGTGAACACTGTCCATTCGTTAATGTCTCAGTGTAATAAAAAAAAGAAAACCTATATTTAACCACAGCATTGTACCATTTGAAAGAGACTTCCGTAGTGTATTTTTTTTCCGATAAATAAAATTTCTTTCACCGTGTCCCCAGCCTGCTAACTCATGTTTAATAGTTACAGACGCCAGGGCCCCTCGATCCTCCCCTGCTCGGTCTCCGGGCAGCCATCCCTATTAAAGGATAGCGGTGTATGTAACTAGCTGCACCCTTGTTTTCGGGTTTTTAATGAGGAGCTGAGCTCCGCAGGCACCCAATAAACACTAATTGGAGGAACTCAGGCAACCGCGGAAGCAGCCCCAGGGCAGACTGCCAGCCAACACTCGCGCCCAGGGTACTTGGTCCCCACTCGCGAGCGTGTCAGACGAAGCAACAGCTTTGGTAGCCGCGTCTCCAGCATCCGCTCAGCCAGAACCTGCGCAGCTGCATTTGCTCCAGGCCACACCCACCCGCGCGAAGCCACGCCCAGCGGGCCCAGGCGTGGACCACCACCAGGCCGGGCTCTAACCCCAGACCCCACCCCTGAGCTCCAGGCGTGGCTTTCAGGTGCCAATCACAGAGAGGCGGGATCTTGGCCCTCCCAGGCAAGGTTTTCGTTCGGGGTTGGCCTCCGGTGTCCGTGTCAGCCAGGCTTCAGGGGAGCGGGGTGTCAGGCGCGGCCGCCTGGGGGTGTCAATCACAGCCGAGCCTCGCTGAGGTGTAGCCCCTTCCTCACCTACACCCCCGGCGCCCGCATCAGCCGCGGCCTCCCTAAGCCTCGATCACCTCCCGGCCCCGCCCAACCCCTGGCCGGCTCGGGTACCACCAACCTCAGCACCAGCAGCAGCCTAAGGCGGCGTTCCCGGCCGGCCAGGCCCCGCCCCGGAGCGCAGGCTCCGCCCACTCCCGGCGGGCTCCAGAGGCAGTGGGTCTGTCCAGGCGCAGGCCCCGCCCCGGAGCGCAGGCTCCGCCCACTCCCGGCGGGCTCCA